AGATTTATTGTCTTCCAATTTGGTCTCCTGGAGAACTTATAACCCAGATAATAAAATATCCTGACTTTTCACAGAAGTACCAACTTTGAACATGTCAAAATATTACCCGGTTATAAGAAAGAAAAATGGCTAAGTAGCATTCAGAAATATACAATAAGCTATTGGCTTATGTTTTTCCTGAATACTCTGTTTTGTTCCGAAGACTTGATGGGTACCAAATGGAAACGGGATGGCTTGTTCAGACCAGATAAGCACAAACCTTGATCTATCTTTGAGGCTGAAGACTATTATCAAAGCTTTTTTAAGGTCTAGAAAATGTTGGTATAGTACTACAAAGTTTGGGACTAAAATGCTACACCAAATGTGTTCCAGTTTGGAAAGTAAGACAATATTTTTTCATTACTTACTACTGCATATCCTATTAATTTATATGGATGAGAAGACTTCAAAAAGACTGAAATTTGCTCAGCAGTATTTTTAAAACAATCTGAAGATGATATTTAAAGACTGGTGTGGAACTGCAAATCAAGGGAATAAAATTGGATACAGTAGAAATTAGGCTAATATGGAGACTAAAAGGATGATAGAATAGGTCATTCCGGCCACCTTTTTTTGTTTGTTTTTTCTGTGTTTGCTTTGAAATTAGGAGAGAAGAACTGAAACAGACTCCTGGAGGATACTATGGTGAAGACTGAGATGGACACACAAAGAGTTAAATTTAATCCAAGTTACTGAAGTCACCTGACAACCTTCATCAGGTACTCAGGCTGAAATACATCTTTATTTGTTTTCCTATCTCCGTCTTTGTTCCTCCCCATGTATCTTCTTTCTGTCCCTTTTACTTTACTAAGCAAGATTTTTCCTTTTTTTTTTGTTTTTTTAACACAATCTTCAGAACTACACAGAATAAAACAAGCCTGTAAGTATGAGAAAGCCCACTTCAGCCTAAAAATACTCATAGAAGGATCAGAATTCCAGCTGAGATGTCCTACACTGGGGAAATTTTGGACCTACTGTGCTTACACTACATTGATGAAGTCTGCTTGTCCTGTAAATTCAATGCTTTGGGGACATACTGAAGTTGTTTTCTATCATAAGTTTGCCTTATACCAGTAAGATGGTAGATGAATGATCTACACAGACATCTGAGGTCTTCATGTGTGGCACCTGGGCTAGAACTACTGTGAGGTAATTACACATCTAGAAAACCTGGATAAATGTAAAAAAAAAAAATCCCTAAATTCTTTTACACAGCATTTCACATAAGGTAAAGATAATGTGCCCAGAGCTATTGCGCTTCCTTCTCTCCCTGGTTTATAAAAAGCTGAAAAGCATTCTTACATTCAGACATCTGAAAAAGAAATAATCCTCTGGTTTCTACCGAGAAGGATTCCCAGTCAAAAAAGTGACTATATTTGAACACCTCTGCCTAGAAAAAGTATCTTAAGATCTTTTGATTAATCTTCTTTTACAGAAAGGATACCTGATTGTGTTAGACCCTTAAGACAGAGAATTTATGGCCTTAGAGCAGTTCCAGGACTAATTGCTTTTTTGTGATACAGATGCACCAATTACTACATAAAAAATTGAATTTGCTTTAGCATTCTCCCAATTACATTTTCTTTTCCTAAGACTCAGGTTTAGCTTTTGTAAGCACAGAAAACAAACATCAACATAATTTCAGACAGCTCAACAGAACTTTTCCTGTATCCTTCCTATCTTTCCTCAAAGCTTGTTTTTTTTTTAAACCTAAAATACATATCAGCCAGTCTTTTAAAAACAATATGGTTTCTCCTGCTCTTTATAGTATTTTACACTGAACAGAAAAGCATAAAAGAAATTTCTTGACAAAATATGCAAATACACTGATAAGCTTTAAGTAACTGTAAATTTCACTCTCTGCATTTAAAAAATTCTCTTCATAAAGCATGTAAGTCTGTGTTGTAATGTGGTTTTACACTCAGTGGTCTCACAGACTGAAGAAAGCAAGGGCTGGAACTCTGGTTTGGATCTTCATGAGGAACATCACACTACAAAGAATCAAAAGGACAATACCAGTTTCCTACTTGACTTGAATGAGTTCAACTTCTTATAAACTTTTGCTTCCTATAAAGGGATTTCATGAATGGTCTCACTTTCTAAAACCTGACTAATTCTCTTCCTTTCCACTGTACTGTATCATTAAGAAACCATAAAAACAAACAAACTGACAGACACATGAGAAAAAGCACTTTATAAGAACAGATTCATAATGTTTGAGGTTTGGGGAGTTGTTCTGTTCTCCTTCCAAGACTTTAAATGACATTTTCAGGCCAGAAGGGTTATTAACAACTTGGTTTTAAAGCTCTTAAAAATCCAAACACTGACTGGATTAGCTGCAAGGGTGCAGAGGACACATTTCTGTTTCTGACTCCAGCCACTCCCATGTCTGTCAGCATGTCTGAATTAGAGCTGAATCTGATTATTGTGTTAAAATGTAGAGTACCAGTAGAAGCAAATGAACTGCTGGCTCCAGGCAGTCTCTGGGGTTACATATACATCTACAGTCCTGCCATTTTTAACCTGTTGTTACAAAGCTCTGCCAATGTGAAAGAATCAGAAATTCTGAATACCCACAACAATAAAAGTATCAATCTCTTGTTTGTGCTCATGCCCTGCTCTAAGAGCTGGGAAGATCATAAACATCACCAGCACTACCATTTGTTCGATGCTGAGCTCAAAGGGACCCTTTCTACTACCAACTTCTGGTACATCATGCACAGTGTGCCAGAGTTATTCAATTATTAGCTAATGTCACAAGCATATTTTTTCCTCAGAGTGCTTTGTCATTTTGTACACTAGTCTTTCTACGAATATCAAAAGAGGGGTTTGGTTCTGGGGTTTGGGGGTTAGTTGTGGGGTTTTTTGTTTTATTTCCTTAGAATCCCACTGAATAGATAAAGCTAGTGGGATATTGAAGTTTTAGTGCGTGTTAGAAACAGCACAGACTGGAACATGATAAGTAATGCCATATTTTATTCCTGCAGTGGAAGAGAAATTAGCAAGGCAGGACAGCTGAGGATTAAAAAAAACCAACCAAACAAAAAAACCCACAAAGCTTTCTGACAAATATGATAAGGCATATCCAAAACTGTTACTTCCTTTTAAGTACTGGGCTATGCCTATATATGTAAGCAAAATGAGATTTTTTTATTCATTTATTATTAGATTGGCACAATGAAGAAAAGACAGACATTTCCTGGTATACAGACCACTTTTCAGGTCTGAAAGAGTGAAGAGACAAGTATAATGAAGCAAAGTACAGCTGTGAAAAACTTCTAATTCGGTTATATTATGTAAAAAGTGAGGCTGCCACAAAAAGTTTTCAGGTACCTATTGATGAGAGGGATGTTATTTAGGTAAAAGAGGATAAGGTTAGAAGCTACTGTGTATATAGGAGAGTTAAGCAGCATGCAGATATTAAAAACAACCCTGGATATGAAGAACTTCAAATTTAAGTGATTAGAAATTCAGAATTTGAGTCAGCAACTTGCCTGGACTTACTAATCTAAAATGGAACGTAATCCAAATTCAAACACCCTTTTGGCTCATTCAAGGTCTTAGACATAAATCTGTATTTTGTGACTTCCAATATCTGTATTGAAAATTAAAGGAGGAAAGTGTTTATCTAAATGACCATTAAAATTCATGCTGGTGTCTTATGGCAAGTATGGGATCAAGTGAAAATTTTGTAGGATATATTTATTTAGACAAGATTATATCTCTTAATTTAAAACATCAACAAGGTCTCCCCATTGGTGGTGGTTTTGAAACCTAAGAGAGAGGAGCAAATCTGCACAGGAGGCTTTGAGAAAAAACTATACCTGAACTAGACTTAGAAAAATATGCTCTTTCCCCCCCCGACAGCCTGTGACAAGATGATATAAAGCAGCATTTACCAACAACTTGTAAGAGATTAGGCAATTGTCAAAAGGGATGTCAATACAGGCATTTAGCAATTGCTTCCTGAAAGATTTCAGAGAGAGCCACTAAACTGCAGCTGGATTTTGATAGCTCTTTACAGCTGTGCACAGCCAGGCAGATGCTATGTTTACCTGTATCTTTAGTTCTGGCTTGGTATGCAATGGCTGCAGTGACACTGAGGTATAACAACCATTTTTTATGTACATATATCATGAATTTGTTGTCAGCCATTATGAGCTACCCAACCCCTCTCTCTCATTTTTCTTCATAACTGTATGTCTTGATTCCCACAAATAAAACTGTAATTACTGCTGCTTTTGCTTAACATGATTTATAATTCCTATAATGATAAAGTCTCCCTTGGTAACAGTAAGTACTTACCACGGAGTTGCAGTACAGTTCTTCTGCATCAAGCTTTCCCTGCTAGAGACAGGCTGTCTGTAAAATAAACCTTTTTCTACTCTATAACAACACTAAGAAAATACACAACCAGTGCAGCCTAATTTTTCCAGATTATGACGATAACTTTATAAACACTTTGGTTTAAGCGGTTAGCCAGAACTTGAGATTATTTTCATTAGAGGAAATGAATGATACAAGATATTCTTTGAGAGAAGGATGTTTATTTATGAAGGAAACATATCAGCTTCTATTTCTCCAAACACAGTATGGAAAAAAAAGCCATTTTGGGTCTTACTTTCTGATTTTCTTTGTCTTGCTCATGACTTCCAATTTTTCCTCTCCTATCATACCTGTGCCTGAGGATACCTGTCCCCCCATAGGATTACATTTACATCTGGATCTTCAACTTTTCTGCTGCATTTCTTTTCAGTTTCCAAGTTCAGCGTATGCACAGCTTGCAAAGTAGTCCCCTTCTGGTATTCTCAGTCCCAGAAAAAAATGACAAAGATGCAGCTGGACAGTGCAGCTAAGTTGATGTAACAATCACCTACCATCAAAAGAATGTCCTATTCCCCTCACTCCCTGCTCCCAATGATCTGTCCTTACCCATCTTCTAAGCCAACACCATCACTTACCCAGCCCCACAGTGAGATTGTTCATGGAGTTAAACTGGAAGAAGACACTTTTCATTTTTCTGCTTTAATTTTCTGTCATTGTAGTTTCCTTAATCAGTTCACAGCTTGGCTAGAGAAATGTCAGAGATGGCAAAAGGGAACATATAATTACAGTTTGGGGGTAGAGAGCCTCAACCGTAACATATCAGAAGAATGAATTATTGCTCATTTTCCCCTGGGCAATAGGCCTTTTGTAGCTTTCTCACTCCAGAACACTCTTCTCATTTAACAGAAATAATATTTAGCACATCTCTGCTTCAGGAACAGCACAGACTGTTGCGGGTTGTTTGGTTCTTAGCTGAGTTCAGCTCTACACTGCACGAATGCGCAGGTCCTGGGACCTGTAAAGAAGATGAAGCAACAGAGGTAATCAGTGGGAAGGAGGACTGCGGGCATTGGCTCATCCTTTCAACAAGACTGCCCAGGAAAATAGAAGCATATTATATCTAACAAGGCAAGTGATTAGATCAAAAGACAATTTAAGAAATAGTTTGGAAACTTTATTGTAATCCAAAACTTTCATTGTTGACTACAGACAGGGTTAGGCCAAACCCACCATATTTGCAGGAAGAAAAGTAAATTTTATGATTCAGGCATGGATTCAAAACCAAAATTTTGTCTCTGCTTTTATTACATGCCCAACCAATATCCTTAAATCCTGCGAGTAGCAGAAATTAAAAGCCTATTAATGAGCAAGAAGTGGAGACTGTGTTCCAAGGCTTCCTCTTACCCTAAAGGCCATGCTCACTAACTTTGTAATTGCATAATATATTTGGGTGCCCTATAATGCAATATAGCAGAAAGGCTTGTGAGTTCCTTCAGCTGATTTTATGCCAATATAATCCAACATTAGATAACAGTAAGTTAAATGCAATTCATTACAGCTTTATTATGAACTTTGTTCCCTTTTAAAGCAAAAGCATTTACTGCAGTATATTTTTAGATTAAAGAGTGAGTGTACAGCAAAAAGTAACCAGCTTGTAAGTGAAGACTTTTTTCTAATGTAGACCTAGGTTATGACTTCAGGACCAAACACAGTTATATCCATGGCAGAAAGAACTCTAAAAAGGACACTTGGCAGCTTCCCAACTCCCAGTTCACTCTGTTTTCCCTTCCCTTCTCTTTTCCCTTTCCCACTCCTTGTTTAGTAGGCGAGAAACAAAATATCAATTTCTATAAACCTTTGAAGGTTAGCCTCTCCTGTCTGTGAGCAACTGAACATCCCATGAGAGAGAAGAAATCCATCTCCTTCTCTCCTCTGTCTCTCCAGACACAGACAGTGAAATGACTTCACAAAACCTTTCCATTTTGATCCATAATCAAAGAATTTTTCAAAAGGTAAGGTGGGTGTGTGCATGGAAATGGCAGGGAAGGAGCTTCTCACATTGCCCTATGTAATGCAAGCCAGCACATGCATTTCTTGCATGAGCAACAAGACTTACAGTAGAGCAATAACAATTTGGAAGTTCAGGATGACACAAAAAGGAAACATTAAAGATCTTTTCAAATTAAAAAAAAAAAAAAAGGTGAGGGAGATGTTATGATTCTTTGTCACAGCATCAACATACACTGCAGTTCCATACATTTCTTTGGAGGTATGGCTATGCATAAGCTAAGTGGGAAAATGAGACATGGTGAGGCATTTTCATTGCTACGTATATCAGGCATTTATTTTCAGTAATTATTGATTTGGGCAAGACTTCAAAGAATGAATAAGACACCAGTTTTGCAAAGGATGCATTGGCACTATTTAAATTGTTGGTCATTAGTACTTTTCACTCTACCGTCCTAGCTGTATTTTTTCACAATTTGTTTCTTCCTTAAAGCTGTGATATTGTTCCACCCTTCTTGGAGGAGATAATGATGAAATTAACCCAGTTATTGAATCGCCGTTCTCTGGAAAGATCATTTCATGTATGGGGACGGGTAGGAACAAATCAATCTGCTCATCAATTGATTAAAGGTGAGTTTTCGTATGCAGCATTTTTAGAGGACAGAGAAGATCAGAAAGAACTTAGGGAAGTCAGCACCTTCAATGCTGTCAAAGTGTCTACACTTGTACCATGACAGAATCAAATTGTTAAGGAACCAACATTCCTGTTCATTTATACACACAAAAAAAGTAAATTATTGTGTCAGTACTTCCTATCCTTTTATAAAAATTGTGCTTTAATTCCTTGAAATGAAATGTGCCTTTTTTTTTTTTTTTTTACTGGAAAAGACAAATATTCAACTGAATAGTCTTACAAAGTCTTATTGTTCTTTATTTTAGCTGAAATTCAACATTAAAAAAAACCTGAATTTAGACACCTGGTCTCTGCTTATAATCATAGAGTGAATTAATCAATCCAGAAGTTAAGTGAGAATTTCAGAGGGATTTATTAATCTTTGAAAGGTTAATACGAATTTCTTCTGTCAGAATGTGAAAGAAAGCTAACTCAGGTTAGCTTGGCTCTCATAAATGCACAAGTAAAAAATAAATTCTGATTAATTTGTACTTCATTATTTGGGCTCACCTTTTCCCTTCTAACTCGTCTGTAAATCCTTATCTATTTCTAAAATATGAATGCTACAACATGTCTGAGAATATATTTCATTTTGAAGGACTTCATAACAGTCATTTTTATTCAATACTGCCTCTGTTAGTGAACACAATGGTTTGCCTATGTAGTGTTAATTAACTTATTGGGAAACTGACTTATATTTTTATTCTCAAAGAAAGAACTGTATTTACAAATTATATCAATAGCGGTCAGACTGTGCTGCACATAATCAACACTTACAGAAAAAACATGGGATAAAATCCTTACCTGGTTACAGCCAATAAGAGTTTTGCAAAGAAATTCTATTATGTGTAGAAATCCTTCCTATAATTTTTGCTCCCTGTTTTTTCAAGGACAGAATTTTATAGGGAGCATATTGAGCATGACTGTTGGAAGAGCTAGTCTGCATCACAGCAATGCAACTGAGATGAAGAGAACTGGAATTTAAAGATTTAAAGTTATGGTATATAAGGCTCATTATATATGAAATTAACATAATCGCAACTGGACAGCTATATTTTGTGTGCTGAATTTGACAGTCAACCCTACCAATTAGGCAAAAAGCAAATCAGAGGGCAGATGTTCCCAGTGCATATACTATAACAGACCAGTTTTTGATTGTACAACTTTGTCTCATTTTCTTGCTAACGTTGGCAGCATTCTGTCAGTCGATGAAAATACTATTCTTAATACACTGAAAAGAATTTAATATTTAAACATAAGATTCTTCTACTTGCTGTACATGAAGTTGAGAAATGACACACAAAATTAAAATTCAGGTGTTCAGGTACCCAAGAATACGTTTCAAAGTAAAAAAATATTACTCAGCAGCCTTTTAGTTAATACACTATATTAGGTTTGTTTGGGTTATTTTAATATTGCTTTGGAAACTTTTGCTTGCAAGAATATTTGAAAATACATTCCATGACTTTTAGAAATGAATACATAGTGAAATTGATCATGGAGACCAACCAATGCTCAAAATTCCTTTAAATAAATACTTGTCATTTCCCAGAGGCGTGGCTTTCAATAACTTTCCACAGATAACTCACATTTATTTAAACATTTAAGGCCAAACCTACGAAGAATAATTTTTTTTTTTTTAGATAAGACTATTGATGTTTACAGCGGACCTTTATACGTGCTTTAAATTTAGTCGTATTTACAAATACTGTCTTGAGAATATATGTTCTTCTTACCTGTCAGCAGTAAGAAAAGAAGAGGCTGTGAGTGCTTCCTATCATCTTTGTAGAATGCCTAGCAAAAGGCAACAGATAGCGTAATTCAGACTTTGGTCATTTTTGCAATGCAGATTAAATTATGAGTAATACCACCCCTTAGGGTGCAAAAATAATAAACTTAAAAATCCATATAATTAATAGTACAACCTAAGATAAAATATTATAAGCTTTAGAACATGTCTTTCCTCCTAACTGATGTTAAAAAGCACAGCAAATACACTCCATCAAGAAAAAAATATATTGAAGACATAAAGAGAATATGCAGACTATGAATTGACAAATACTGATCAAAACAAAACAAAGTTGATGACTGGTTGGGAAATCTGAATGCTGGAAGTTTTGCCCAAGGCCAGTAACTTCCTCCAATCATTATTTCCCTCAGGAAATATCTTGTTCCAGAGGGCACCAATCCTGGAGTCAGTTTGGGTTTGCTTTTTTGATCTGAGATAAAAATTTTATATGAATGTCTCCGCATTGGTAATGGCAATGACACAAGGTCACCCACTCAAGACATGAAGTTTCTGGGGAAAAATATTACTTGAGACTATGTCACTTTCACTTATTAAAAATAAATAAATAAATAGCAAAACTGCTTGCTTCAAATAGAATAAAGTAAAAGAAATATCAACATTTACCAATGTTTAAACATTTCCAGAATCATTCTGGTGAGATAATGGGATGTGTTATTGATTTTCTTTTGAAGTAAATGCAATCAGAATTTGAACCACCTACTCTATAAGTTTGGAATTCTGCTTCCACAAAGTGAGCCTCTGAAAGCAAATATGTTTTTATACATACATGAAAGGCTTCATTTTGGAGAATAAAATGGGGACAGTTCTGAACTAATTCCATTATGCAACCTAAGGTCAAACATTTATTTGTAATTTCAGTACATGATGGGTTGGCTACATGAGCTTATTCTCCTTTTATCTTTCACAGCTTCCCCACCAACAATTCTGAATGTGCCAGTTCTTGGAAGCGTGCTGAAATGTGACTGGTAACAGTAAATTTAGACTACTCCTGACAGAAATATTCTGCTCAGGAACAGAATTGAATTATGAAGTTTGATTGCAATCCAGATTTGCCAGTAGAAATATTTTTTATATAAAACCACCACTTCTGACACACTGTTTTCACATGTCTTTATTTAAAAATAAAACAAAACTGCATTTACTCTCAGGACATTAGTTTGAAATGAATGGCCAAAAGTTTTCACTTTGAAAATGAAAATACATTCTCCAGCTTTTTTTGCAGCCAAGTTTTAGTAACCGATTCAATGATCCCTTTAAGTCTGTAAGTTCCAAACATTAACTAAAAATCATCAAAAAGAAGTCAAACTATTTTTAACCTGAATTTCAAACATGCTTATGGCATTTAAACAACTAAAACCTTTAGACACTATTAAGAAGGGAAAAAGGAGGGAAGGGAAGATCAACAAAGATCTTTCCATATTCTTTTCTGATTTCTCTAATTTTTTTAGTTATTTTGAATAGGCTGCTCTTTTTTTCCTTCACACTAAAAAAAGTTTAAGTAGAATTTACTACCTAAAAAAAGTGA